AAAATAAATGTAGCCGCCTGCCTCACAAGTGCAAGGTCCTGAGTTCAATCCCCCGTACCGGAACAACAACAACAACAAAAAGTTAAAATAAATAAATAAATAAAATAAAATAAAATAAATGTTAGGGAATAAGTCAATTAAATGTATTAAATTTATCTTTTCCCTCAGGGTTTTATTGTATATATAAACTAACTTACCAACTGAAGTATTAAAATACAAATAAACCTATTGTAAGGCAATATGTATGTGCAGGTAAGTTAATGAATGTTTTTAAACCCTTAAATTATTTATAAATTTGGTGCTCTTAATGGGTCTTCAAAGAGCAAGATTATATTTACTTACAGAAAGAGGCAGTTAGTATTACCTTCTACATTAAACAACTCCAAAATGTCTAAAAATATTTCTTGGTTCCTCAGACTTTTAGTCACAGAAGCAAACAGGAAAAATCACCAGAGATCATCCCTTAGTTTACAGGAAATCACTATATAAATGAGTAAACAAATGACACTCTCTTCCTCATTCAAGTATGTCTCTCCTACCTCTTATCTGGTACACTAACCTCTTAAATCTTCCCACAAAAAGTAAGTTAAAAGGAGAAATCAGGAGCAAAATAAGGCATAGCTGATTTTCTTGATCCACAATAAGATCTACAAATACAGCATAAAATCAATCTTGGCTAAATTTAATCAATAATGTAATAAATGTCTATTAATATAAGACAAGTTACTAAAAATGGTGAGAAAAATAATGTGATTGAAATTAAAATGTGAAAGAAAAAGCATAATTTAAATATTTTTAAAAACTGGGCAATTAAAAAAAAACTGTGAGATTTTATTTTAATAAAACAGAAAATATCTACAGGTAAAGAATCCCTAATCCAAAAGTCTGAAATCGAAGATGTTTCAAAATCTAAAAGTTTAGGACGTCTACATGACACTCAAAAAGTTTCAGACTTTGGAACACTGGATTTCTGGATTAGAGATGCACAACTATAAAGTCTACACAAATACTCCAAAATCAAAAAAGCGTGAAATCTGAAAAACTTCCAGTCCTGAGCATTCTGGATAAGAGAAACTTTTAAAGTAATTTAAAGCTGATCTAACTAAAGAAAGAAATCATGGGGGCCAGGGATTTAACTCAGTGGCACCATGCCTGCCCAGAAGCACAAGGTCCTGAGTTCAGGAGGGAGGCAGAGAGGGAAGGAAAGAGAAAGAGAGAGAGAAAGAAAGAAAGAGGGCTGGGGATGTAGCTCAATGGCCCCACAACTGCCTGGGAAGTGCAAAGTTCCTGAGTTCAATCCCCAGTTACGGAAAAAAAAAAGAAAAGAAAGAAAGAAATCATGAACCAAAAGAGAGGAAAGGGAAGGAGAAAGGAAAGGACAGCCCACACAAACAAGCCATCCTGCTACCTACCCACCTACTTAACTAACTTTGGTTAAACAGGAATCATATTTCTTCCTCAGAGAAAAACAAAATTACCAGAGGACACTATCACACATAACAAGACTTGATCCATTAATTTTAGGCTAAACTGCAGAGAAGACAATATTTTTAAAGTCAGGTACACTATAATATCTGAGTTGAACAATTATTTCAGAATGTCTAAAAAGCAGCGAACATTTTGGAATGCCTAAAATACACATGAGGCGTCGATAAGATTAACTTTAAAAGTCATAAAACTATAACAAAAATGTGAATAACTACTTTTAATAAATCACAAAGACAAGTAAAAAATAGGAATTATATTTGGAAAAGTTATACCTATGGCCTTGGGATAATTTCTCAGTATAGAAGGTAAATAAAGTCATAAATTAGGGTGTAGAATGTTGGAAAGCGGTGTCCTAGACTCAATGATTCAAATGTGAGAGATTAATCATTGATATGTAAGAGGCACATGTACTTCAATGAAAACCAATTAATGTTTTAAATAAATACGACATTTGGAGACGTTTAAGATGACACAACTTGCTTCTATAAGCTGCCCAGACAGCAGCTAGAAAGACAGGATTGGAAACTAAAAGTCAATGTAAATTACTTTGGAGGTGTTCTGGTGTTAAAGGATCAAAAACTACTCCCATAGAATATGTAGGTAACATTTTAAATCACATATTAAAGCAATTAAGTGTGGTTTATCAACATCACACAGTTGATTAGGATAAGAGTGGGGGTAAAATCTAAATATTCTGACTCTTGAAAGTCTGGTTTTCACACTAGAACAGACTGACAGATCTCAGTGTACTCATTTGAAAAAGATGAAAGGTTAGAATGAATAGGTTTGTGATGTCTCATAGCTGAAGTCTTCCATACTATGTAGGACACTGGTGGCAAAACTATAGCACACATGCCACAGCAGGCACACAGAGCCCTCTCTGTCAGCACGCAAGCCAAGTCGCCCCAGCAGCCAAGCCCTGGATAAATTGCTTTTTCTAAACTAAAACCTCAGTTTTCAGGTTTAGTTGCAATGTTGACACTTTCGATAAATAAGTGGGTTTCAGGTTGCAGTTTGGGCACTTGGTCTCCAATAGATTTGCCATCACTGATGTAGGATTTAGAAAAGGAAACAAAGATAGAAAGAAAAAACTGCAACTTTTTATATTGCTCTACAATCCATGGTACACAGTCATTCCTTGTTATCTCATTTATTCTTCTCAATAATCCTACTGGTAAGCATGAATATCATTCCAAGATTAACTTACTAGTAAAAGAGAAACTACCATGAAAGTATTTGACACACCTCAAGGAAACTGAATTGAAGTCTTCAACAATTATATTCTAACCTGGTACTAAGTTTTCAACATCTAGATATAGCAACTAAACTTCACATTCATTATCGATTTTTAAAATATATTACAACTTATATTTGGACTTCAAAACCATTTTTATATTGTTTAAAAGGTCATCCTTCTGATAATCACAATGCATATAGGGATACAAACACACACAGTGTAAAATGTGTGCCACCTCACCTCCATCCCCATCATCTGATCCTCTGAAACTGGGGTCTTTCAGCATGTCCAGCTCAGCTAACATGCGCACATACAGTGCATTCTGTCTGAAGGAAGGATAGAACCTTTCATCTCGTAGCATCAATTCATATACCTTGTTGAAATAAACCACGATGATCAAAGATTAATATAAATACATGGTGATTTTTTTTACTAAAAAACTTCACTAAGCTGGGGATATAGCTTAGCGCTATAGTGCCTGCCTGATAAACATGAGGCCCTGATTTCAATTCCTGGTACAAAAAAAAAAAAAAAAAGACTTTACCAAAAGCTACACTGAGATCTTGCTATAAAGTATCTGTTACAAGATGTAAATAATCATAAGACTCTCTCAAAAATAATTTTTTTAGTTTCTCCAGTAGCTAAATTAGATGGGAAAGGATTCTATGGCAAAACAACCAACATGACAATACGTTATCTATAATATTCTACACAGTATTTTCTAAGAAACAAGTACACATAATGGCACATATTAAAATGAATTTGTGGGCTGGGGATTTAGCTCAGTGGTTCTGGTGCCTGCCTTGCAAGCGCAAGGTCCCGAGTTTGATCCCCAGTACCAAAACAAACAAACAAAATGAATTTGTGACACATGTTATTTATATATCATCAATTCATCAAATTCCAAGACTAGAATATTTGGCTTTAGTCAGATTCAAAGAAAGCAACTCAACATAAGTATTTTCCTCATCAGTCAATTAAAGGAATAAACAAAATAAATTGGTCTAACTGGTCTACATTTTTGTAATTAAGAGGTATTATAACTAATATTTCTAGGTACTGTTCTTTTTTAAATGTTCCAGTAACTTTTTGAAATATTAATTATGTGCACATAGAAATACACATTTTTTTCAAGAAAGATAAAATATATAATACCTTCCTCTGAATGTCATCAAATATTTCAGGGGTTGGATCTTCATGATTCAAAGTATCTGCTAATTTTGCTACTAAATAGTCATCAACAGTAACTCTTGGAGATGCCTAAAAGCAGAGAATAACATTCTTAATTTCCTTCAACTTGTAAACATGACTATCTTAAAAATTAGCTAGTTTAATACAATAAACTATTTAATTAAAATAATTAGTTTAATACCACAATACAAAGCATAACACATAAAAAGTGAAAGACAGACTGTTAACACTCATGATTAAAAAGGAAGTTAACTACTATCATAATTGCTATCACCAGTGATCAAGGGAAAAACACAGCAATGACTATAGGCTGTGGTACACAGTCATTCCTTATTTCCTTTACTCTTCTCAATAATACTATTGGTAAGCATGAATATCATTCCAAGATTAACTTACTACTAAAAGAGAAACTACCATAAAAGTATTTGAGTGACACACCTCAAGGAAACATTCTTCAAGGTGGATGATCCAAGTTATCACCATTAGATACTAAAACATACTACTTTCAACCTTTATTTAGGGTACCCTACTATGGGCTTTGTATTCTTCTTAACCATCTTTACCCATTGCCAAAACTGAGACATTTATCACAGGTAAATAAACTCCTGAATATCCAAGCAATAAAATAGTTCACTGAAAATAAACTACTCATTGCATGCATCAACATGTATGAATTTCAGTAAAATGCTGAGAGGCAAAAAACCCAATATATATACTAATTGTTCCATTTATAGCAGATTAAAAACAAACATAAGTAATATATTGTTTGGAAGAACATACATTAATGATAAAAATATATGGGGAAGCAAGTGAATAATTAGCTCCAAATTCAGGAAACTGGCTTCATCAGGAAGAAAGAACATAAAACACTGCAGGGAAGAACAAATAAAGTATACAAGGTGCATCATAGGTGCAGTGCATATGTGTTTTGTTTCTTAAGATGGATGGCATACTTAGATGTGTTTGTTATATGATTATTCTGAAAACTGTACTTTTTTGAGTATATTGCATCAGGTAAAATTTTAGCACATGCATTAATGAGTTTTTAAATGAAATTCATACATAAACTCAAACATAATATTTGTGCTAGTCAGAATAAATTAAAGGGTATTGTAGCACAGCCATTAAAATTGTGCAGCAAGCATAGTAACTTGATTCTTTTGACTTTTTCTGTCTGTATTACTGAGGGAAATTAGTCTCTAGTTTTCTAAGTGATGTCATTCACTTAAGTATCAAAATACTCCCTCACAAAACAAAATGAAAATTATTTCCCCTTTATTTTCTGAAGTTTATTATTCAAAAATATTTGAAAAACAAAACTAGTTTTCTTCTGATTTCTTATTTAGAAATGTTTCAAATCTTTATAGATTTCTCAAATTTCCTTCTATTCATTTCATTCTGATTAAAGAACATAATTTTATGGTTTAAATACAATTAAGCTTTGTTTAATGGTCTAGCATATGTTTCAAGAAGAGAATGTTCCATATATTCTTTTTTTGTTTGTTTGGGTTTTTTTGTTATTTTTGGTACCAGGGACCGAACTCATGACCTTGGACTTACGAGGCAGCTGCGGCACCACTGAGCTAAATCCCCAGCCCTGTTCCACCTGTTCTTGAAAATAATGTGTATTTTGCTGTGAAAGGAAACATTCTTTGTGTTAAGTCTAGCTGCTTTGTTCTTCAACGAATCTATCTTTAATGACTTTCTACCAAATTATTTTATCAATTATTGAGAACAGGTATTAAACATTCCAATTAGTATAGAAATGCCTCTTTCTTCCTTTAATTCTATAAATTTTTGTTTTATATATTTGAGAACTTTGTTAATTGCATAAATGTTCATAACTGCTTTATCATCCTTAATCAACTTAATCACTTTCTTCATTACAGAATATTCTCTTCTCTAATAGCAATTTTTATCTTAAATTCTACTTTTCTTACATTATGATAGCCATTCTAGTTCTTTTATTTACCTTTGCATGATATATATATATATATATATATATATATATATATATATGATCTTCGATTTTAACTATCATTTAGTATTTGCATTACTTTGGGCATATTACTGTAATTCAGTTTTCTAAACATCCGAATCTTCACTTAAATAAGGAGGATAAAAATGCATATCAAGACTCTTCTTGGGATTAAGTGAATCAAGTGTTTCTGAAGCAAACTGCCTGGCATAAGTAATGCAAATTTGCAAGAATTAAAAAATTGTTATCAATGATAATGCCGAAGAAGAAAAGTTATCAAAATATATCTGTACCTTTTCAGATAAATACTGCTCATAAATTCCAACAGCAGCTGCTCTTAAAAGACCTTTGGTTTGGTTGGTTTGATGTTTTCCATCTCTCTGACGACTTAATAAAACCTCTAACTGCTGCTGGGCTGTAACCCGGTACCCTTCCACTGTCATCCAGAAGAAAAGATGTGCTTGACCTCCAGTTTGCTGCATGTAATCTGCCAAACAAAACCCATAACATAACAGACATTAATATGGGTCCATGTAGCTGCATGACAAGTTAAGATTTAAGTATCACATACTTGAAACCTTACATTTTAAAAATGCTTAGCAAATACCTAAGATGAAAATGTTACAAGTTGATTAATAAATACTAGTGTAGAAAATACAAAAGGAAGCACATAATTCTAAATTTTTAAACCTCATTTTTAATGGTAAAACTTCTGGTGAAGAGATCTGCTATATATATATAGGCTTCATTAGAAGTAAACTACTTCACCTACGTTCAACATTTCCTCTGAATAAAGATTATTAGTCATAATATGAATTTTTCTAGACTTATTAAAAATAGATATTAGCACTTCAACAACTATGTACATTTTTGGCCACACAAGTGAAGATTCAGGAATTTTTGCTGAAAATATCACCAAACAGAAGCAATTTTATGTAATATTAATAAAAATATATGCATAATAAAATATTCATATAGTATAAAAACAGGCCAGGTGGGGTAATACATGCCCAATCTCAGTACTCAGGAAGCTGAGGCAGGAGGACTGCCGTTAAGTTTGAGGCCAGCCTGGGCTATGTAGTGCAATAAGACCCTCCCCCAAAAGCTATAAAAACAATATAAATAGCTTATGTTACTGGGCATGGTAGCACATGCCTATAATTCCAGTTACTCAGAAAATGAGGCAAGAAGATCACAAATTCAAAGGTAGGCTGGGCAAGTCTACAAGACACACTCTAAAGATAAAGTTTAAAACGTAATGGAGACATAGCTCAGTGCTAGAGTGCTTGCTTTGCACCTGTGAGCCCAGAGGTTCAATCTACTACTGGGAGGGAAAAAGTTATTCACACACACTATGCATTTTCAACAAAATACTTTCTCAGCAAATTTAAAACCATACTAGAATCTCCTAGAGTGTATTTTAAAAGCAGCTTAGCAAATGCATTTACTTCCATTAACAGAAATAAATCTCTTATTTCCATGGCTTCTAAAGAAAAAGAATTCAGAGAATAAAGGGTGGTATCTAATTTGGCATACAAAATAATAACCACTCCAAATTTTAATAATACTAAAATTATTAAAAGTTTTAAGGAAGATATTGGAGTAAGAAATCTATCTCCCCATATACACAATAACTGCACTAGTAGAATCTCTGATGTAACTAATTTGGAACTCTGGAATCTACTGAAGAAATTACAACATCTGCAGAAAGGTTTGGGAGGTAAACTGTGCTAGGAATGTAAATGAGACAGTTGCTATGGAAAATAATGTTGTGGTATGTCAAAAAGTTAATGACAAAATTAACACAGGACCCATCAATTCCATTTCTGGGTATACATCCAAAAGAATTGAAAATATACATATATTCATGGTGATATTGTTTACGCTAGCTAAAACACAGAAACAATCTAAGAATCCCTTGATGGATGAATAAGCAAAATGTTGGTGGTGTGAGAATGTGCCTGTGTGTACACGTGAACACATGTCCACACATTCATAATGCATACATACCTGTACCCTGGAATATTAGCCTTAAAAAGGAAGAAAATTCTGACACACTACAGTATGGAAGGTTCTTGAAGATGTTATACTAGGTGAAGCAAGCCAATCAACCTAATGGATAGAGAGCGTCAACCTTAGAAGATAAACTTCTACAGATGGGTGGTGGTGATGGTTGCAAATATCTGTGTATATAGATCAACTTAAATATACTTAAAAATAATTCAGAAATTAACTTTCCTATATATTTTACTACAATAAAAACTTTAAACCTCTCAAGGGCTATATTATTTAAATAAAATGAATTTACCTACCCATAAAAAATTGTAGTGCAACATTGTCTATAAGAATGCTGTCCAACGGGACTGTGCAAAGTTTCCCAAAGTTTGCTGCCAGTTTCACAGTATTTATTTCCTACAGACGGACATGAATACAGGTTAGTATATTACCTAATCATTCAATATGGTGAAGATAAACTTGATACTCAAAGCAGAATTGACAAGCTTCTAAAAACAATTAAAAACTTTAAAAGGATTCAATATCAAAAAGTGTTTGGGCAAACAAAGTTTTAAATAATGATCCCAAAAGATCACTAAGATTTAAATAAGGTAAATGGTTAAAGAAAAAAAGGTAGAAATGAAACCAATCATTCTTCTTTTCTAAGAAGAATTTTCACAGGTATAAAGTGGTTGCAGTTAACTAAAACACACATGTATGTCACAACGTGGGTCTATTTTGAATCTAAACCTTTACCTCTTTATTAGTACTGTTTCATTAAGTTCATCTAGCTAATTCAGCTAGCAAACCAAACTCAAGATTTAAAAAAAATACTTATTCCTTTCTTCAATTAATTAAATACACTGCATAATTATAAGACCAATGGGTCACAAATAAAAATTTAAACTTGAAATCCAGAGCCAAAATGGTGACTACACTAGGAACTAAAGGTACTAATTTTCTGCTTTAAACTCTCAACTCTCTTCTCTCCTTTACAGTAAAACTCCTTTATAGGGCAATCTACCAGCACCATTTCTGGTTCTTTCAACTGTATCCTCAATAGACTCCAATCAGCTTTCTTTACTACTCACAAAACTGCTCTCATCCGATCAGCAATAAACCACTGGGTACTCATCTTACTCAACAATATTCTTTTACTTAACCGACCTCTCCCTTCTTTAATCACTTTCTACACTTGATTCTTGGGCATCACACACCCAGGATTTCCTGAAATCTTACCAGTGAGTACTGTTTGGCTCCTTCATTTCATCTTTAACTGTATTCACTTAAGTGACTGAGGGCTGTGATTGGTATATGAGTGCTTTCACTTACTATTCTAAATGATCTCACCCAGTCTCTAACATTAAATGAACATTTGATAATTCCAAGCATTCACAAAGTTTACCTCCATCAATAACCTTCTTTTGAACTCTAACATTATCAATTTGAACATTTACTTGAATGTTTAACAGGTATCTCAAATAAAAATATGCAGAACTTGATTCTTTCTCCTGAACCTCTACCCCTCAGTTTTACATTTCAGGAAACAGCATCATTATTCATGTAGTTAGGCTAAAAAACATGGGATCATCTTTGAGTCCTTGTTTCTTTCTTACTCATATTTAGTCCATTAGCAAATCCTATCAGCACTAGATCTAGTCTCCAATCACTTCTCACAACCTTCTCAGATGTCTCTTACTTGGTCCAGAACAGCAGTCTGCTAAACAGTCTGTTTTCCTCCTGTCCCTCACCATCCCACCATAGTCTATTCTTCACAAAGAGTCAATCACTTTAACTCTAAGTCAGGTTATGTTACCTGCTATGGCAAATCTCCAATTGATTTCGGTAACAATTAGAATAAAAATAAAAGGCTTAACAAAGCCAGTAAAACCATGTATGATCTAACCTCTAGGTTCTTCTATAACTTTACTCCTAGTACAATTCCTCATTCATTCACCAAACCACAGTGACAGCCTCTAACTCATCAAGGGTGTTACTGTCTCAGGGTCATTATACTTGATTAACTTCTGTTGGAAAGATTCCTCAGAAACAGAGGACGTTCTCATGCTATAAAGATATCTCCATGCAAAAATATCACCTAACTGCTCAGCACCTATCTAAAACAATCTTCAATATTTTCTGTATCCTACTTTATTTTTTCACAGCAGATATCATGACCTGACAAAAAGGTGACTTCACTTGTTATTTATTTATTTATTTACATACTTACTTACTTACTTAGTGGTACTGGGAACTGAACAGGGGCTTTGCACTGAGCTATATCTCCAGCCCTTTTTATTTGGTTCATTTTGAAACAAGGTCTCACTAAGCTGCCCAGGCTAGACTTGAACTTGTGATCCCTCTGCCTCAGCCTCCCAGACTGCTAGGATTACAAGCATGTGCTATCACACTCAAACGTGTGTTTATTGTTTATTTTCTGACTGTGAGCTAAAAGGTAGTTCCAGAAAAAGTTGGTTTATTTTGTCCACCTAATATCGTTGTCAATTTAAATAAATACTAAATAAGTAAATGAATAACAGAATTAATAAATCAAGGAAAATAAAACCTTGAATTATGTTAGCATTTTCCAAACTTTTATATTTTCTTGTGGGGTCTCTAAGTTTATTGTCTTTATCTGAAAAATGTTCATAGAAGACTGGTTTAGCTCTCAGCAGTCTGCTGCAGCACTCTGAGGAAGCCTGCCTTCTTTGCCTCCCCACCATTTTTTTCTTTTTTTTCCCTTTGCAGTACCAGGAATTGAATCCAAGGCCTCACAGATGCTAACCAAACCCTTAACCACTGAGCTATATCCCTGTCCTTCCTTTCTTTCCTTCTTCCCTCCTTCCTTCCTTACCCCACCCCTTCCTCACTCTTTCCTTTCTTTTTAATTTTTATTTTGAGACAAGGGTTTCACTAAGTTACCAGGCTGGTTGTGAACTTGAAGTCCTTCCGCCACATTAAGCTCAAGCTTGCCTTCTTGAGTTCCTCGATCTTTCTTCTGGAGAAAGAATTATTTTTGGATGGTTCCATTTGTCCTTTATAACTCCTCTCTTGAGTTTCTGATAGACTGGATTTTCTTGCATAGTCTGAATTTTCTAATATATCTCCTCCATAACATCTGAATTACACTGCTCTTTATGTACTGAGACAACTGTCTCTTGTAAGCATTTTCACCTTTTTCCATTAGGCAATGCATATAATCTGGAATGTTCTGGCCCAAGATATGCTTCCAATGTATTTTGGCATTAAACTCCCTGCTTTCACAACCCCAGGCATATTCAGCCATCTGATCTTTGACAAAGGGACCAAAAACATGCTGGAGGGAAGATGGCCTCTTTACTAAATAATGCAGGGAAAACTGACTATCCTCTCAAAATGGATAAAGATCTAAATGTTAAAACAGAAACACTTTTCCTGCTGCAAAAAAAAAATAAGTAAAACTCTTGAAGACATAGGCGTAAGCAAGGACTTTCTGAAAAGAACCCCAGTTGAGCAAGAATCAACATATGAGATCATACCAAATTAAAAAGCTTCTGCACAGCAAAGAAAACAACCAACAAAATGAAGAGACAACCTACAGAATGGAAAAAAATTCTTGTCAGCTATTCCTCAGAGAGAGGACTAATATCTAGAAAATATAAAGAACTCAAAATAAACTTAGAACTCTTCAGAAGAAAAGACTCAATTGAAAACTGGGCAACTGAAATGAACAGACACTTAAATCGACAATAAATATTGTACACGAAAAAAATGCTCAACATCTCTGGCATTAGAGAAATGCAAATTAAAACAATGAGATTCCATCTTACTCCAGAAATAATGGCTATCATCAAGAAATCAAAAATAACAAATATTGGTAAGGCTGTGGGGAAAAAAGGACCCTTCAACATTGTTGGTGGGAATGTAAACTAGTACAATCATTATGGAAATCAGTATAGAGACTCCTCAAAAAACTAAAAACAAATTCCATTCAACTCAGCCATTCCCCTTCTAGGTATCTAGATAGCTTCTCAAAAGAGTTAAAGACATCATATTACATGATGTATGCATACTCATGTTTACAGCAGCACAATTTATGATACCTAAATCTTACAAGAGGCCGATGGATCCACTAATAGATGAATGGATAAAGTGTGGTATTTTTACACGATGGAGTATTATTACTGTCGTAAAGAAAGATAAAGAAATCGTTTGTAGGAAAATGGATGCACCATGAGACTATAACGTTAAATGAAATTAATCAGATAATTTTAAATATCATAAGGTTTCTCTTGTATGAGAAACCCAAAATTTAAGTAAAATAAAAGATAGATTAATAAGAAATAGGGAGACAGATATTTGGCAAAATGGAAAGAGACCAAGAGATGAGGGAGGGAAGACGTGGATGAAAAAAGAAGTAAGATGTGTTGTGTGCATGTAGCAACTCCCCATGAAGAGTGTAATCACTGTGTACTACAAACATGTAATAATTAAAAATAAAAACTGAGAAAAAAGTTAAAATTAAAAGATTCATACATGCCACTTAAAAAATAAACAAATAAACTCTTTGCTTTCAGAATCAGAACCAGGACTCTGAGGGGCAAATCTAAAATCTAAAGATTTATCACCAGCTCATTTCAGGGGCCCCAAAATTTTATTCCCAGTACCAATTCTGACAAGGGCTGGATCCACATAACAGTGAGGGCACCAGGATGACCACTGGTACCTTCCACACTGTATTCCTCTGCAGTCACCTCCACTTGACCCTCACAGATACTTCCATGTCAACCTACTGAGAAGCCTGAAGGCCAGTGTAACATGTAGCACCATAACTTATTAGGCCACCTTTCATACCCTACTTTGGTAGTTCAGGTGCATAAGCTGTGCAGACCATCATACTCACTTCTATGTGGGCACATCTGACAAATGATATTTCTGTTGGTTGGCATTCTGACCTGATTTTTGTCTTGGATTACCAAGCATTTCTGAATAAAGTAATCAATTTTACCCTCTAGTCTATTAAATTTAAATTTCACTTGGTCTCTCTTTGACAACTGCAACAAAACCCAACCTATGGAATGAAGACCCACATCTACATCTTCACACAGATCTGCTGACCTAGCAGTGCTCCAGCAGTGTTTCAACTAATCTCTTTGATTTGTTTTAAAAATACTCATACTACACCACATAAAAGAAAACTTTTCTGAAAGTCCTAAAGTGCCAAGTCCTTATCATTTACTATGCATTTTAATCATACCAAGTACTTATAATTAAACATTAATTCAAAAGTACTTTATACTTACTTTGCCTGACTGTAACCGCTGTATTCTTGAGTCACACACTTTCTTTACAAACAGTAAACTATTTATTTGATTTTTGATAGTGTTGATATCTAAAAATAAACAAATTGATTTCGAGCTAGAAAAGTGGTAATGGTATTAGTGAAATGCTTTAAACATATACTTAGTATAATTTAACAAGCTAACAAATTAATATACAATTTTCATCCAATTAAAAATCTGAAATTGTACAGACAAATTATTTAATTAAAACCAAGTCATGTCGATTATCTATCCATTAGATATAGCTCTGCTAATCATAATTTTACACTGAGAAGATAACATTTTTAATCTAAGCATACATTAACATACTAAGGAAGATTCAGTTAAGGTAAAAACAGCTAATAGCATAAATGGCATTTAGGTAAATTAAAATTTTATTTAAATATATAATAATCCTTAAAGAAAAATCTTTAACTAAATCACTTACCATCACCAGCTGTATCTAAAGATCTAAGATACTGTAATTCTTCTGCTGCTTTATCTCTAACTGCTTCTAGCTCTCCAACATTGTCACTCAATTTAATAATGTTCATAAAGGCCTCATAATTGCAATTAGAATCACGGATCTGAAAATAAAATTCATTAAGAAAACAGGAGGCAGTAATTATTCATTAAGGGGAAAATTGAATCCTGAATGCTATGACCATTAATCTTGATTGCCAACTTGACTGGTTTGAGAAGTGTCTAGGAGATTAGACATACACTTCTGCTTAAATCTCAGTGGGTCCTTGGGGTGTGACCGTGGGGACTACCCATGTCTTGTTCCTGTCCTCTTCCTCTACTCTCTACATCCTGGATCCCATGAGTGGAGGAGCTTTCCTTTACCATGCCCTTTTGCTACAATGTTCCTACCTTGGAGCCAGCCAACCATGCACTGAAATCTCTGAAACTGAGCTAAAATAAACCTCTCCTCCTTTAAGTTTTTAGTTCTTTGGGTTTGTTCTGTTTTTTTTTTTAAGTGGTTGGTCATAGAGGTGAGAATCTGACAAATAGAAGTGTCTACTATGTGCCAGACACCATATGCTACATATTCAGTGCTTATAATAAAAAGACAAATCCCAGTATTTGGTGGCACTTACATTCTACCGACTCAAAGACTAAATAAAATAGAATAAAGAAGGGTAGAAGACTGCACAAGCTCAACAGTAATGGAGAACAAATCCTGGAAAGTGTTTGGCTTTCACTCTAAAGAAAACCAAAAGTTACTATAAGGTTTAAAGAGTAAAATTCTGTGACCTAAAATATAAAAGAATCACAGAAATGCTATATAAAAATAGAGTGAAGGCAGACTCAAAAGCAAGGAGAAAGACTAGCTAATAACTCAGAAGAGAGATGATAACAGTGCCTAGGTGAAGAGCAGTGGTAGACAGGTATACCAAGAAGTGCACTGTCAAAAGTGCTTTGGCCCAAACAACTGGAAAGATGCAAATACCATAAAGATGAAGAACACATCAAGGAGAATAGAGGGTTTGGGTGGAAGGCAGAGAGTATTAAGAGATTGGTTTTGACTAAGAAACATCCAAATGAAGACACTAAATACGTTTCTGGATCTAAAAGGCAAGCGTTCAGGAAGGAAAACTAGGAAAAACATACATTTCCAAGTCACTGGGGTGCAGATGACATTTAAACCCATAAAACTGGATGGAGATCATCAAGAGAATGAGGTGAAATTGAAAAGAGATGGACTGGACAGAATTGGGGTGTGAAGCCATCTTTAGTAATTCCCTCTGCCTAGGCTCAAAAGGTTCCCACACTTTCTATAATTCTGGGATATAACAGTCACTGTGCTGTAGGGAAGAAGTGGCCATTTGCAAAAAAAGTGGCAGGTTGAATAGCAACAGGCACCTAGTTCAGCTGCATGGGATTTTGCATTGGCAGAATATCTGAGTCTAGGCTCATCCTGGCCAGGACCAGAGGAAAGCTGAGCACCTGCATCCCCTAACACAGACCCTGTAGACCCTGTACAATCACCCACCTCTGCTCTACAGAGAGGCATTCAGAATAAACAGAGCAAAGCCTAGACACTGGCCACCACACCACCAAAAGCACAGTTGGGAAATCTATGGAGCTAAGGCCCATGCTCTGGACCTGCCCAAGGACTACACAAGCAACAGATACAACAGACAGCCAGAAACTTCTGGCCTCACATTCCCAGGTACAGGAAAAAGTTACACTGGTAGGTTTGAACTGGCCAGCTACTTGTGGACTATCTGAGTACTTGTCCAAAACCACAGTTGCGGTCAGCCTCCTGCCTGCTCTAAACAGCCTCTCCTAGGTGGACAGACATGGGGATTTAAAAAAAAATTTTTTTTAAATTCATACCATGTCTTGGTGGCATTCAAGAATTGACTCTAATATAAGAACTACCACAAGGAGGAATGAACCTGGTTTTGGTTTTATGCAGTCTTTTTGGTGTTTCATTTTGCATAGCCTCTGTGTGTGTGTGTGTGTGTGTGTGTGTGTGTGTGTGTATTTAAAAGTGCTGGTTATTGCTTTGCTCCTATGGTGTCTTATCAAGTTACATTAAGTTCTCCCACACCAAGGGTTGTGGCAGGGCACTAAATCTGGATTGCCATTAATTCATGAAGTGGATTCAATCTTCCTGTATTCTCTCACTTTCTACTTGTATTCCTTCTTTCCTTCTCCTCTGATGCCCTCTCAAATGTGTCTTCCTTGTGTCTTCCTTCTGTCCTTGTCTATAAATATTATCATTCAAACCTATTTTTTCTTTCTCTTTGTGCATGTGGGGGTAGGGGAAGAGTCGTAACAGTTTATGTAAAATCACTGCTTTTCCACCTAAAGTGCTTTATCTCGTTTTCTTATGTTCTCCCCAATCAAGTACTGTTTTAGGGGTCTTCTGTGTCTCTGCTAGCTTATTATATGCACTCAACATCTCCAACTCTCTTGTTTTCCATTTATATGTTCTTTCCTACTCTTCTTTCTTTCCCCTCACATAACCTCTCAAATCTCCCTGCCTACATCCTTCTTTCCTGGTATATAAATATTATCATTAAAAGCTATTGTTTTCATCCTCTTTTTTTACTTCCTTCTCAGTTCTATTTCCTTCTTTGTCCTAGCTTATTCTACATTTTTGCTAGCCCTTTATCTTCCTCTGTTAATGAACCAATAGAGAACTTTTCAACACATTTAAAATTACATGTTTATATATGTCTGGTTTTTTGAGATGTTAGTATTACTAGCAGGTGTTCTCTCCTGGCAATGCTATGGTAGGGCTTACCCTAGTGCTGTACTGTGAATAAGCTGAGAATCTGTTCAATCTGAGTTATACTCCCAGTCAAGGGCACGTCATTGGGAGAAAGCCTCTTACTAAAGAGATCTCCATACCACAGTGGAAGAGATTTTCATTCTACAGACTTCAACAGAAAAACACATCAAATGGAGAAAAGAATGCTGTAAGATGCCTTCAAAAATTTGTAACTCTTCAAAACTGATCCAACAAATACAGAACTGGATGAAATCCCACATAAAGTACGCAACAACAACAACAAAAACACTCAATTGGAAATCTTGGAAGCAGTCAAAATGATTCACAAGAAAGAATATCAGACATGAAAACAAGGTGGGTAAAAAGAATATTCAGTAATATGAAAAAGAACAAGAAACAATGAAAAGATTATTTAAGACCTCCTAGAGATCTCTGAAAGAACAAATTTAAGAACCAGCCTGGAGGAGGGTATGGAAGTATAGGCTAAGGGAATAAAAAACCTATTCAGTGAAATTCTTTTAGACAACTTTCCAAATCTAGGGAATGACAGGGATACCCAGAAAATGGATGCATTTAGAAGTCAAAATAGACCACGACCAGAAAAAGATACTCTCCACAACACAGCATAATCAAAATGGTAAAAATTCAAAACAAAGAAGTAATATTGAAAGTAGTTAGAGTTAAATACCAAATCACATATAAGGGCAAACACATCAAAATAAAGAAATCTGAAAGGCCAAAGGCTCGGAATGAAGTTCTCAAGCTCAAGATCACTATCTCCTGCAAGACTTTCCTTCAAACATGAAGCTCTTAAAGATCATCCATGATGGGTATAAACTAGGAAATTCATGACCACCAAGCCAGCATTACAGAAAACATTTAATGGAAAGAAAGCCAAAGGAAAGACAGTCGTTAAACAAATCAGAAAAAGAAATGAAACAACACAAGAAAAACAACCAAATGACCAGAATTAGTACATGCTTTTCAATAAGGACATTTAATGCAATGGCCTTAATATTCCAATTAAAAGATACAGACTGGTAGACTGGGTCAAAACATAAGGCCCACAAGAGCCACAATCACAGAAGAAAATCTATACAGATGCAAGAAAACCAACAGTTAAGATAATGAGGCATTATGAAAGTTTCCATTGAGTACTTCAATTTTTCCAGTAAGGTAGTAAGCAAGGTAATGAGCTAAGACAAAGGGTGTTTAAAGATGTGTTAAATGAAAGTGGCAGAAGTATAAAAGAGCTACTTAGGAGAGTGGGACACAAAATAGGGAAAATATAATGACTGCAAGGCAAGGGAGATTAGTGTTCATGAATTTTAACTGAACTCAGAGTATATATGTATTTTTTCTATAGCCACATTCAATTGTTTAAGAAGAATTGTTAAGAGTTAACCAAGGCAACAATGTATCACAATGCAAATGACTTATGGCTAACACTGTCCACAAGATTTAAATAAAAGTAGGAGAAATCATGGAAAGGCAGTACACTTGGTATTTTGTACACTCTCAACAAAGGAATCAAAGAATTAGAAACTGGAGAAGTCTATAACTATGAAAAAAGACATTACACACAGGATAAATGATACAAAGGAACTTTCTTTTTTAGATACTAAGGATTGAACACAGGACCTATGCACTGATCTATATCCTCAGTCCTTTTTTATGTATTTTGGGACAAGGTCTTGGTAAGTTGCCCAAGCTATTCAGAGTCCTTTGAAATTCCACATGGATTTTAGGATAGCTTTTTTCTATTTAAAAAAAAAAAAAAACCTACATTGGATTTTGATAGGAATTACAATGAATTTGTAGGTTTCTTGAGGTAACATGGTCATCTTTACAGTATCCCATCATTCAATAAATCAACCTGAGATGGGTTCCCATTTACATCTGTCACCTTTAATTTCTTTCAGCACTGTTTTTTGGTTTTCAGTATATAAGCCTTTCCTCTTGGTAAATCCCTAAGTATTTTGGTTTTTTTTGAATTGTTCTATTTGTTTTTTTAAATGTTCTCTCAATTTGTTTATCATTTATAAAATTAATGTTTATTGGGTTGTCATTATCCAGAAATGTAATTGATTTCTGAGTATTGATTTTGTGAACTACAACTTATTAGTTCTAATCAGTCTTTGCAGAATCTTTAGTTTTCTACATCAAGATCACATCGTCTATAACCAGACATAATTTACGTCTTCTTGGGCTGGGGATTTAGCTCAGTGTTTCCGGCGTCTGCCTTGCAAGCGCAAGGTCCCGAGTTCAATCTCTGGTACCAAAAAATAATAATAATAATAATTTACTTCTTTGGATGTTTTTTATTTATCATTTCCGACT